CAGGAACCACAATGAAAATCCTTGAAGAATACCATGGAGTGAGGCCTGGTGGCCTCTAAGCCCTGGTGGCTCCTAGCATCACCACCGGAGCAGCAATGCATCACTGGCCCCAGTTTTAAAATAGTAAGTCTGCGGTGCTTGGCAGAGTATTACCAGGTGGGCCCCTGAGCCCCCAACACTGAGCCAAGGAGCCCAGACCCAAAAACGCTTCCCAAATGAATTCCTTTATTGAAGAGATAATCTCATGCATAAGCTACAACGCATAGGTATATTTGCTGTATATATCTTGTATCATATGTGTATTAGAGTCCTATGTTCTAGTGATCCAGACAAAAGTATACTGTGAAGTAGTTCTTCAATAGCTGCTGGGAACTTTATTTTATATAATTACCTATAAAATAATATAAAATAGCTTTTGAAACATATATTGATTACTTTACATTGCCTTTCATTTCTTTCAGGGGTTAATCTCCTGCTCTACATCTTGTTTTCCTGTCACCCTCAGAGACTCCTATCTCTTTTATCATAATCACACTGTCACTTTTGGTCCTTTCCTCCTCCTCCTACCAGTCTTCTTCATGGCCTGTTTTCCCTGAATGTGGTGATTCTTGAAAGGTAAACTTCACTGGGTGAATGACCATTAGTTCTGGAATTTTTGTGCCTATAAATAAGATGACTATCATTCCCTTGTTCATCCTAATAATAAGGTGCCATATCATTTTGGAAAGATATAAAGATGTTTGTGTATACATAGATTGTCCTTTATGTCCTCAAAACACAAAACTAGTTCATGACAAAGTGCCTACTCATTGTGATCTTAGAGTATAATATAATTTTTTAAAGGTTTTTTATTGAATAACTGTGAGGCCTTTACAAAACTGTTCGTGATTAGGTTTTGGTCATACAGTGTACCAACATCCATCCCTCCACTACTGTACATTTCCCAGCACCAGTGTCCCCAGTTTCCCTCCCATGACCCAACTCCATAGCCTACCTCTATGAAAGACACTTTTTTCCTCTGTCTCTCTATCTCTCTGTCTCTCTGTTTCTCTGTCTCCATCTCTCTTTCTCTGTCTCTGTCTCTCTGTCTCTCTGTCTCTTTGTCTCTCTCTGTCCCTGTCTCTGTCTCTCCTTTTGGGCATTGTGGTAAAGAGATATACAGTATAGTTTTTTAATTTGATTTTAAAACTATCCCTATTGGCTGTCATGAGGTAGAAAGCTATACATCTCCCCCTGGTGGTTCCTGTTAGGGTAGGCCCTTCACATAACCAGTTTTTTCTAGTTCCCGTCATTTCCCACAGAACACTGATAAAACACTGGTGCTAAACCCCATCTCTGTTATCACTCTAATAGTGAAAATTTCAGGGGCTCTCATCACCTCCTTGATCTATATTTCCACCTGAAATCCCTATACAAAAACTTCCACTTTGAAATTCTTCACATTCTTGAAAGGCCCTAATTCTTTCTTCCCAAGATCCCACCTGCAAAGTTGTCTCTCTTCTGTGCTCTTAGACTGTAGCTGTTGTTGTTTTTTTTATCATCCTATTGTCCACACTGTTCCTTACATGACAAAGGCACTCAGCAAAGTTTTATAACATTGAATAAAATAGATACAGTAAAATTAAAATCCAGCGTTTTAAAGGATGCATTTATGACTGCCCATCCCAGGCATTGCCAATGCAGCCCCAGTGACCCTTTAGCACAGATGTGAGCTGTTAGGCATTGAGCTGTTAGGCCCACATCACCAGGTTGAACATTACAGGAAGTGACCCCAGCACACTCCTCCAGCATCGCAGGATGGGTACCCTATGTGTAGTACTGTCCTCTCGTTGTTCATTGATTTGCTCGAGCGGGCCCAGTAACATCTCCATTGTCACAACTGTTACTGTGTTTGGCATATCAAATATGTCACGGGTAGCTTGCCAGGCTTTGCCATGCAGGCGAGATACTCTTGATAGCTTGCCGGGCTCTCTGAGAGGGGCGGAGGAATTGAACTCCGATTGGCGAAGGTTGACCGTGTGCAAGACCGCTGTGCTATCACTCCAGCCCACCCTATGTATATCTATAAAAATAAGATGATACATTTTTAAATGGGTCAGAAGAGGTGCTGGAGAAATGGTACAGAAGGCAATCAAGGCATTTGCATTGCATGCAGTTGACCCTGGGCATCCCAGGGCACAGCTTATGGTCCCCTGAGCACGACCAGAAGTGATCCCTGAACATAGAGTCAGGAGTAAGCCCTGAGCACTACCAAGTGTGAAAAAAGTAATACTAATAAAAATAAAAGCAGATCGATAGAGAATGTTATAGATTATCTCTGTCCAACACAAATATAAGCCATATATATAATTTTAAATTTTCTAGTAACTATTTTTAAAGAAATAGGTGAAATTAATTTTAACAATATATTTTAGTTAGATCACTATTCAACATGTAATTAATATAAACATTACTAATGAAATATTTTAATTACATTTTGTTAGACTATCTTCCTAGTGTTCTATGCAGAATGTACTTATCTGAGTTCAAATTTGCCATATTAAAAGTATTTTCTACCTAGAGCTGGGAAGATAACACAGACAATCTGGGTTCAGTCCTGCCAAGAATGATCCCTGAGTGCAGAGGCCGGAGTAAGTCCTGAGCATTGTTGAATATGGCACAAAAAAACAAAACAAGAGCAAAAAGAGTGCGCTATAGTCACATTTGGCTATTGGTTTTTGTGTTGGAAAAAAAATTATTGATCTATGTTTAGGAATTGACTCTGAGTTCTAGCTGACTTCTGAGTAGATTTTGGTATAAAACATAAAGGAACTTTAGCTGCTTCTTTCCTTGATTTCCTCATCTGGATGGAAATGTACTTTTTTTTACCAATATGATAGGATTGTGATAGCATAAAATTAGAAACTGAAATGAGGGCAGTTTAGAAGGCTAAAAAATTCATGCAAACGTGAGGCATAATTATTCCAAGAATAGAGTGAACTTTGATGGTTCTTGCTCCTGCGGTATTCCTTAGCACACCTGCAATTTTCAGTAGCTGTTGCAGATTCTTACAAGAAACGAAGTATTGAAGACCACAATTTTGATACTCAGTGGGAGATATAATTCCCACTTCTTTGCTAGCAAGTCCAATATAATCGGCTTTTTTTGGAAATAGTTATTACTTTCTTTAAATAATCTGGATTCTGTTTGTTCCCAGAATTTTCTTAATTAACATGGACAAAATAAAACAAAATGCTGATATTTTTATTAAATATCTCCTTGGAAGCACTCAGCATTTTAATAGAAAAAAACAAAAGCAAAAACAAACCCCAATGGCCATGAAGAGTAAAGCTTGAGTTGGATCTCTGATAGCATCCACATGCATGGACCACCCTTAGAACTAAAATAAAAGAAGAGGGATAAATAATTATCTCCATTGGAGTAGATGGGTGTGGTGGAGATTATTATTTAAGTTAATTAATATCATTATGAATAAAGATGCCTTTACCATAGAGAGAAAGGAAGAGGCAGGGCACCAATCATGAGATAATTTGGTAATTTTTTTAAAAAACATAGTGCTTATCTGCTATTCAGAGACAGAAACAGAGACAGAGACACATAGGGACAGAAAATAAAACACATTTCCCATCACCAAGTTTTCCAGAGGACTCACGAATTGTCTTTTGTTGTTGTTGCTGTTGTTGTTTTGGTTTTGGTTTTGGGGTCACACCCAGTGATGCACAGGGGTTATTTCTGACTCAGCACTCAGCACTCCTGGCAGTGCTCATTGTACCATATGGAACACCTGAGATCAAATCTGGGTCGGCCACGTGTAAGGCAAACGCCCTATCCACTGTACCATTGCTCTGGCCCCAGGAATGGTCATTTTTAATGAACATTTAAATTGACCTTTCAAAAAAAATTCTCCACAGAGTTGCTAATGTTTCTTCCCAAACATTCTTCATGTTCACCTGCCAAAACTGATCTGTCACTATTAGTATTTTAAGAAATGGTAAGGAAAGGCACTTAAATATTGTGATTTCAACTTTACATATGCAGTAAACCAAGGGAGCAGGAAAGGTGGGGAGGGGAAACTGTTCTCTTGTCTGCTGTGATTTGTCTCTGTTAGCCTAATCTCAGGAAGACATCTATATAAACTCTGAGCCATCCTAAATCCCTCACCCTTCCAGACCACATCTTCCACTCCTGAGTCTCTTTCTTTCTTTCTTTCTTTCTTTCTTTATTTCTTTCTCTTTCTTTCTTTCTTTCTTTCTTCTTTCTCTTTCTTTCTTTTTCTTCCTTCCTTCTTTCCTTTCTTCCTTATTTCTTTTTCTTTTTTCTTTGATTTTTTAAATTTAATTTTATTTTATAAGGCTCTTCACAATAATTTATTACATCCAATATTCCAACACCAGTCCCACCACCATTACACCTTACCCACCACCATTATTTCTAATTTTTCCCAACCACCACCCAAGACTGTCCCAATAGCAGGCCCTAAGTAATTTATTTTGTATTGCTTGTTTTGAATCATTCTCTAAAAATAATCAAAATAAATTTTCCTTAGAAGAACATGTGTGAGTATTGTTGTACCTTGCCGTGGATCCATTGAGTCCTTGTATAAAAGATTACTAACATGCTGTTATAGGTGGAGTCTTATGTACTAACATTTTTTTAAAATTCAGATTGGTTCTTCTACTTACATCCTATCCAATGTGTGCTACTCCTGGTATGTCAGTGGTATAATGTATGAGATGTTGCTTCAGGAATTCTAAAATTTTAAAATAAGGTGTTACAGCTGGAATTAAATTTTTTATTTTGGGGTCTGAAGGCATCTCTGCGGAGATCTCTTCGAGATTAATTCGTGAGTCTCTGCATCATGTCTGCCTCTCTTTCAAGGCTCATCTGAAGTCTACCCCTCGTCGGTGGCGTTGCCAGGGAGAGCGGACCCCACCTTAACAACCGTTGCTAAGGGGCGGAGACTTCGAATCAACTATCCCTGGGTCGAACAGCTAGGGCGCATGCGACAACCTTCTCTCGCGAGATTTCGTTTTCCCGGAAGTGTTGGCGGACCTTTTCTGCTAACGGCGTCGAGATGTGCAGGGACTGTGTGGAGAAGGAGTACCCCAACCGGGTGAGCGAGTGGGCGCCAAGAACTTCCCGTTCCCTTGGCCCGTGGTCTGCCCCATGAGGCTTCTCCTCCTCGCGGCCCGTCTTCCCGGTGAGACTGGGCGCGGGGCACCGCCCTGCCACATCAGTGACCCGGCGGCTGTATTTTGACACCTGGCCGTCGGTTCCCTTGTTTCCGCCCAGGCAGCTGGCGCAACCCCCCTACCAGCAACAGCCCTGGCAGAGGGCCACCCTCACCGCTGCCCCCCAGTCCTCGCGCTCGGTTAGATGGAGTTCACTTTTCTCCCTTCCAGCGCCCGGGCACACCTGAGCGCATCTATTCGATCCCAGTTTTCAAGGTGAAGAAACTTGATGTCCAAAGGCGCGAGAGAATCATTGCCTAGTCCACTTTGTTAGTTGATCTGAGAACCTAGACGAGCATTGTTCAGCTTTCTTGACTGCCAGCTTTTTTTCTGTTTCCCGTTTGGGCAATGCTCTGGGGTTATTCCTGGCTCAGGAATTAACCCTGGTGGTGCTTGGGGGCGGGGCAGGGAATGGGGAGGAGAACCATATGGGATGCCGGGGATTGAACCCGGATCCGCCGCGTTCAGGGCAAGCACCCTGCCCACTACACTATTGCTCTAGCCCCTGTCAGGTTGTTTTTTGTTTTTGTTTTTGTTTTTATCTTTAAATCTCTGTCGTGCTCAGGCGAGTGGGGAAGCTCGCTTACTTGCCTTCGTTCAAGGTATGCTTGTTGTGGGTAGCTGGACTAAGGTTTGCTAGGCCAGGAAGGAGTACCAAAGAAAGGGAGCTTCGTGTTACCCAAGAGCTGACAGTTTGGAGGGAGTTTGTGATGAACAGAAAAGTAGTACGGTTTGTAAAGGCTGTTCAAGGCTAGGGAAAAGGTGAGCAGTGGGAGATAACCTGTCTACCCCAAACAAAGGTGGATTTTAGTCGAGACTGGATAGTTGTGACTAAGGTACTAAAGAAGGAAAGTTGGAGCCAAGGGTTGGAGCAAAAGAACAGAAACAAGAAATTTTTTTAGTTTTGGGGTTTTTGAGCCACAGAGGTGGTTCTCAAGGGCTATTACTGGTTCTGTGCTTGGGAGTGACCCCTGGCGGTTCTGGGGGGGGGGGGGAATCTTTTACACTCTTAAAAAAACATAAAGATTATTTATAGTGACATTATTTGTATCTGTAGTGTGTGATATAGAATATAGACCTTGATAAGTGAGTAGCACTGTAGCACTGCCCCCCCCCTTGTTCATTGATTTTGCTCCAGTGGGCACCAGTAACGTCTCCACTGTGAGACTTGTTACTGTTTTTGGCATATCGAATATGCCAAGGGGAGCTTGCCAGGCTCTCCCTTAGACTTTTTTTGATAAGTGAGTAGTGAAAATAAATGAGAGAAGTGATTGTCAGCTAGTGGAGTTTCCATTTGATAACATCTAGAGATATTTTTGTCACAAGCTGGGGTACAGTAACTTCTAGTAGGTTGAAGTTTTACATTTTATAATTATGTTTCACATACTTTTTTGATTGTATCATACTTTTTTTTAAAGTTTAACAATATTTTTTAGGAATCCAGTCATTTGCATTAAACATTACAGAGACAGAGGGAGGTGTTTGCTGTGGAGGATGTTAGAGATTGAACTTACTTTGTTTTAAGGGCCACTCCTATTGTTATTCTGACTCAGAAGGCCTTGCAGTGCTTATGTCTGAAACATTGAAGTCGTACATGGAAGTCAATTCCATATCCCCAGCCTTGGTCAGATTTAAAAAAAAATTTTTTGTATCATGTTTCATTGAAGTTGAGTGTAAATCCCTTAGAGGAACCAGTGAAAATGAGGTCAGAGTTTGAGTACAATTCAAACAGATGATGTAGGCAGCATATTCGGTATGCCAAACACAGTAACAAGTGTCACAATGGAGACGTTACTGGGCTCACTAGAGCAAATCAATGAATAATGGGAGGACAGTGACAGTGATAGTGATGTAGGAGCAAATAAAGCGTTCGAATAGGAAGAATTTGCTCTCAGGTTTAAAAAAAAATTGTGAATACTCTTTTATGTTAGGAATCATTGATGTGTTGAATAAATCTCCAACCCCCCGGGTGTTGGGTGGGGTAGTGGAACTGTAGCGAAGAAGCAGAATATATTCCTGATCTTTAAGGAATAATTTAGGAGATAAAAATAAAATGAAGTGCGACTAGGAAGATAGCTCAAATGACTGTAGCATGGGCTTTGCCTGTAGGAGGCCTCATTTTGATCCCTACTACCACATGGTCCCCCTGAACACTGAGCCAGAAGTAGCCCCTGCACACCGTAAGGTATGTGACCCACAAAATGAAATTAAAATTTTTAATAAAGTATAGGAAAATTTGTGAAGGATTGCAGTGATTTAAAAACAAGAAAAGGGACTAGAGAGATAGGACAGGGTGCTGACTCAGATTCTATTTCTAGCACCACATATGGTCCAGGAGTGATCCCTGAGTGTCGAGCCAGGAATGTGCCCTGAGCACAGCCAGGTGTGACCAAAAGCCACAAAATTAAAACTAGGAAAGTTCTCTCATAAGTACACTGATTTAATTCTATTCTAAAATAATTAGGGCTGTCATGAGGAAGATTTAAACTTTGGCACTACAGAAGGTTTGTTTCAAAGTAATTGATAGGTGAATGCTATGGTATTGTAGGCTTTGAATTAGGAGAACTTCTAACAGATTTTCAATAAATGGAATGGAGTTATACTAGAACATTCTAACTCTTCATATAATTAATAGAGATTAATTGACCATTTGAAATTTCAAGTTTTCTAGCGCTTTTTTTTTTTAAATTTTAAAGTCATGACATCTTTTAAGGGCAGTAACACCAGAAGCCATTCTATTTGAGCTTAGCAAAGGAAAGAGTAATAAGATAGTGGAAGCTAGTGAGCTTACTCATTAAAGACAATTGACAGTCTCTCGAATAGAGCATTTTTTCTTGCAAAACAGTTGGCAAAACAAAGCAATGCATTGTTACCACGCTGGAAAGCTCTCTTAAAGGTAGAATGAATAGGTAATAAGTATTTTTGGTTTCATAACATTCTGTGGAACTTTGTGGTGGAGATTTTTCAGGAACTAGTAAGTACAGTACTAAATTCCTAATAGACCTCTGGCCTACTTGTTTGTAATGTTATACCAAGAACTTGAATTCAAGCATGTATCAAATTGGAAGTGACCTGTAATCTATTTTCTGGAGTAATAAAATGAGTTTTATTACTTATTTTTTTAAAAAGAAAAACTCGACCTATTTTTTTTTTCTTTCTGGAGGATCTTAAGAAAAACAATTAAAACTAGAATTCTGCTGCGTAAAATTTTTTTTTTTTAATTCTGTCACCCTCCCATCCTTGCTCCTTCTTTGTTGTTGATATTAAGGGATGCAGACACTGGTTGTGATGCTTGCTGGGGTTACACGCTGGGTCATGGTGCTCACAAAGATTGGTGCTTCTTTAATTATGGTGCTTTTGAGAGGTTCCACCAATTTCTGTGGTGCTTATTCACACCCGACTGCAGTGCAGATGAAAATCACAGCATCAGGGATTGCTGACAGTGCTCAGCACATGTAGAATTTGGGAGATGGGACTCATGCCCCAGTGCTGGAGAGACAGATGTTCTGAGCCACCATGCTGTTTTTCCAGACCCAAGAACTCCACAGCATGTTCTGATAATTCATCGGCCACAAAATTGTTATAAAACATTTTCCACATCAAGCTAGAAATGAAACTTTTAAACTTTTTAGTAATGCATTAGCACTGGAGAAAGACGTGATTGATTTAGATTAATCAGAAGGAAATGATCAGTATGAATTAGTCATAAGCTTCAATTAGAAACTACATGTTTTATATACATCACCTAAACTAAGCTGCCAAAGTTCATGTACTCAAATTATACATGCAGTTTCGCATTTAACCATATTTAGTTGAATATTGAGTCTGATATATAATAGGTAAAACTGTGGTTTTCTGCATTTTTAAACACCTACGTTAAAAAAATTTGATCAGAATAGGATAGATAGTACAGTAGGAAGGGTGCTTGCCTTGCTTGCAGCCAACTGGGGTTTAGTCCCTTCCAGGAGTGACCCCTGAGTGCAGGGCCAGAAGTGAGTCCTGAGCACAGCTGGATATGCCCCCCCCAAAAAAAAAAATCTTAAATCACTATCTTAATCTCCTACTTAAGATAGTGGGAATATAAGAGCAAACTAAATCTGTATCAAGAAAGGAACTAATATAGATTGGAGTAAAATTAATGATGTAGGAAAATAGAGAAAATAAAACTAAAGTCTGATTCTTTAAAGACTATATTCAAAATTTTAAATTTTAGACTTTTCTCAACAAAATATTTTTAATGTTAAGCTATATTATCTGAAAAAAGTAATTCAGAAAACCAAATTAGTCTAATCTTGGTCAAAGTAAATTTCTCAAACTCTTAAGATTTTAATGTACTGTCATTCCAGTTATCATTATGATATTCAACCACTTCTTGAGCATTTGCATGCCTTTACAAAGCCTCAGCAACATTTATTGGAGCCACATTATCTAAGAGTTTTTTGTGGTTGTTGTTGTTGACTTTTTTTAAAAATTTTTATTAGTGAAACACCATGAGGTACATTTGTACACTTACAATTTTTTTTTTTTTGGGTCATACCCGGCGATGCACAGGGGTTACTCCTGACTCTGCACTCAGAAATCATTCCTGGCAGTGCTCAGGGGACCATATGGGATGCTGGCAGTGCTCAGGGTCGGCTGCGTGCAAGGCAAACGCCCTACCCGTTGTGCTATCTCTAAAGCCCCACACTTACAAATTTTTGTGCTTGGGTTTCAGTTATACAATGATTGAGTACCCATTCCTCACCTCCAATGCTCCCAGCATCCCTCCCACCCCCCACCCCCCATCCCACCCCACCCCTGTGGCAGGGCATTCCCTTTTGTTCTCTCTCTCCTTTTGGGTGCTGTGGTTTGCAAAAGAGTCATTGAGTGGCTATCATGTTCGGTCTATAGTCTATTTTCAGCATGCATCTCATCCTGGGAGGGTCCTTCCAACACCATTTACTTGGTGCTCCCCTCTCTATCCGAGCTGTCTTCTCCCTCAGCATGTGCGGTTAGGACATACTACATAAACCCCTGAGTTAGGACATACTACAAAGCTACAGTATATGATATTAGTACATTTGCGCTTTCCACAGAAATGCCACTATAATTCAATTAGGAAAGAATAATTTTTACAACAAACATTGCCAGAACAACTGGTTAGCCATTAAGGAAATAATAAAACTTGATCCATTTCATGTGGAAAATTATGTCAAAATGGATTATAATCTAAACTTACTATAAGGTAAATGAGTAAAATTTTCAGGTAAAAACCTTTGCAGCCTTGCAGATATTTTAGAAGACAAGCACAAGTAGTGAAAAAGATTTTGGTAGATTGGGCTTCTTAAAAAAGTGCTCTTCGAATGACATTGTAAAAATGCAAGCCAGGGGGCCAGAGAGATAGTATAGCAGGCAAGGCACTCAATCCCCAGCACCCTTATCCTCTCCTGAGCTCCACAGGGAGTGATCCCTGAGTTATGGTTGGTTTTCTACAAGTGCCTTATCCCCTGTACTCTCTCTCCAGTCCATGAATTAGATTCTTTATAAAATCACTTTTCTACAACACTTATTAGTAAGCTTTAAATAGAGTCTCTTGAGCCAGAAACATGTTGTTTTTTTGAGTTCTTAGTGATAAAAAGCATTTCTCTTTGAATGCCATCTGAATGTTAGTCAGATGAATTCAGAATTTAACCTTCTTTTCTGAAGTATAATTCTATAGACATCTGTAAAAATTCTTCTTTGTTTCATAGTATTAGGGTTTAATAAAATGCTGTTTCAACAATCAGCTCAGCATAACCATAAGATTATTTCTGTTATAGCTCAGCATTTACATTCTGATTGAATTTTATTTTATTTATTTTTTGCTTTTTGGGTCACACCCGGCAATGCAGAGGGGTGACTCCTGGCTCTTCATTCAAGAATTACTCCTGGCCATGCTCAGGGGACCATATGGGATGCTGGTACTCGAAACCGGGTCGGCCGTGTGCAAGGCAAACACCCTACCCACTATGCTCTCGCTCCAGCCCCCAGAATTTTAATTCAAATCTTATAACACCTCATTTAATATTGTTGGGTATTAGATTTTCCTATTTTTTTCCTTTTTGTAGTTTATATAATTAAAACTTCATTAAGTTGTTTCCAAATAGCCTTTTGCATTTAGTCCTCTCTCTTAAATACAGTTGCTGTCCACAGAGATTTAAAGCTCTTAAGTCTTAAAAGCTTGCTTCCATTTTATTTACTATGAATAGCAAATGCTTTTAGAATAAAGTTGGCAGTTTCAAAAATTGCTTGGTAGAATTTCAGGCAAATATGTTGTGGCCCTAATTTTTTTGCCTTTCCATATCTTAGTGGGCCAGGGTTGTAGCTCAGTGGTGGAGCACTTACCTTGCATATATGAGGCCTGGCATTTAATCCGCAGACTCAGAATTCACACACAGTCTATTAATCATTTTCACCAAGGTCTTTGAAATATAAGAGTATTAATTCCTAATTTTAATAATTCAGGGTACCATCTGCCTGGAGAATGGATCTTTTTTGCTGAACTTTACAGGCTGTGCAGTATGCAATAAGCGAGATTTCATGCTGATCACAAACAGATCTTTGAAAGAGGAAGATGGAGAAGAAATTGTTACCTATGACCGTAAGTAGACTTTTTCCATGTGAGTCTGTTCGCACATATCACCTTTTGGAATTTAATATTTTGTACATAGTATTAGGAGGTACATTTATACTGTTGTATTACAACACATAGCTTGTGGTTAGATTTTTTTAAAGAAAAAAAATGACACCTTATGTATCTAGTATTCTAGATATTCTGCATAAATAACTTTTGCAGATAGTGGAAGCTTATTGTTTATCTTCCAATTTTTGTTATTTATTTCTGTTTATGCCTTCAGAAATCAGATATTTAGAAGAGTTATTTATTTATTTATTTTGATCTTAGAGTCATCCTGTGAATTTTTACTTTCTATTATAGTATGTCCTCAATCACTATTAAAATGTTGTTTAGGACTGCTTACTCCTTATACTAGTAACCCTTGATACCATTGTGGTTTTGGTCTTGTTTTGTGATAGCCTTCTCTGCTTTTTTTTTAATCTCACTGTCAGTGATTTGTTTTCTTTTCTGAGGGAGGGGAGAAGTAGGAGGTTTGGGTCAGATTGAATCTGACTGTCTGTCGATAGTACTCAGAGACTACTTACTACTGGCTCTGCTTGGGCATCATATGGTTCTTGGGATCGAACTGAGGTTAGCTGCATGTAAGGAAGTGCCTTAACTCCTGTACACTCTCTCTTTGTAGCACAGTCACTTTTCTTCTTTTACTACTCCACAAGTGTGCTACTTTCATTTGCTGCCTTTATGTTTGATGCTGGGAGATTGAATAAATTGTGTATAATAAAAAATTTATTCTGAGGTTGACACTAAGAATTTGTATCAGTAAATTATATCAATAATTTATTACCCAGATACTATGACAAGAATTTGGAGTGTTCACATCTTTTTATTTGCTTTCAGCTCTTTGGTATGTCCTGAATATACGAGAAATGTGCAAAATTTTGAAAGGGGTATAAAATAAACAGAATGATCAGAGTCAGACTTGAAAAATGTTAGTATTTACTCCTGTAAGCCTTGGTTTATTCTACATGAGAGGGAAATGTGGTTAAGAGTTCTAGAATTGGAGACCTTGGGTTTGAATTTGGTTCTAACACTTCTTAGCTTGGTAAACTTCCTAGGTGCTTAACATAGTGTGCCTTTGTTCCTTTATCCCTTTTATTTCTTATCTATATGAGCACAATTTTTGTTATCACTGAGAATAAAAGTGTTTTTTTTGTTTGTTTGTTTTGGTTTTTTTTTTTTTTTTTTGCTTTTTGGGTCACACCCAGCAATGCTCAGGGGTTACTCCTGGCTTTGCACTCAGGAATCACTTCTGGCGGTGCTTGGGGGACCGTATGGGATGCTGGGAATCAAACCTGGGTTGGCCGCATGCAAGGCAAATGCCCTACCCGCTGTGCTATTGCTCCAGCCCTGAGAATAAAAGTTTTTATGTAGATAGATTCAGCTAGTGAAAAAAAAAAATGACATTTTAGTTGATTACATTAGAGAGCTTTCAGTGAAAATTAATAAATCACATTAAGTCTCTGAGATCAGGCCCTTCATTTAATCCTGTTGCTGTATGACAGATTTTGAGTTTCTTAACAAGGTAGATGTTATAATGGGCTTCCTGCTGTGTTAAATATGACAGAGTTAAGATTTTTTTTAAAGTAGCATCATACTGTGGAAATTTTGCTGTCTTAAGACCTCTTCCAAGACTTAATTAAGTCATTCTGTTTCTGCAGATTTGTGTAAGAATTGTCATCATGTAGTTGCCAGGCATGAGTACACATTCAGTATTATGGATGAATTTCAGGTAAATGTATAAATACAGGTACCTGTGTATTGTTTGTTTTTGTTTGGGGGCCACATCCAGCAATGCCTGTACTACTCCCTACTCAGTGCTCAAGATCACCCCTGCAGTCCTGAGAGTAGAGGAATACCACAATGATGCTGTTTGCACCATTGGGCCATTTCCCTGATCCAGTATGAGTATATTATTGATGTAGGGAAGAGGGGTTGTGGTGGAGAATAATAAAACTGTCTCTGAAAATACAGGTATAATTTTTGTAAATAAAGTAGTTGCAAATAATAAAAAACACCATCTCTTTATTCATACCTATGCATGTTGAGAAAGACACTTTATTTATTTATTTATTTATTTAAATTTATTTATTGAATCACTGTGGGAAAAGTTACAAAGCTTTCAGTTTTAAGTCTCAGTCATGCAATCATCAAACACATTTCCCTTCACCAGTACTTATTTTTCACCACCAAGAACCCCAATATACCCCCCTCCCAACCCTCCTAATGCCTGTGAGGCAGATGAATTCTAGTTAACACTCTATCTACTTTGATTAGATTCATTGGTTCAACAAAAGATGCACCATTATTATTTAGAATTTACACCCAAAAATCGGACCTGCTGAAAAGGCATTGTGAAATACTTTGTTTTCTACAGCTGATTACAAGAACCAAGTGATGTCACGCAATTTTGAATTTCTGCTATTTTACTTATTAAGCCTGGAAGTATTTCTGCCGAGAGTCAGATAATTATGAGATTGGTTTCTGTGGCTCTGGAGCCATGGCCGTGCCGGAGAGCCACTCGTGGGGGTGCAACTTGTGACCTCGGTAGGGTGTGAAGGACGAGCTGGGAACGCCCCGCTTCCCATGAGGTTTCAGTTGCCCCGTCAGGACCGACTCATACCTGGCTTTCCAAAAAGCTCCGAGGCGGCCGCCATCTTGCTGCCCAGAGGGAAAAAGAGAGAAAGACACTTTAAATGTTGGTGGCTCTGTTCAACTGGTAGATCTGTTCAATCCAGTCTTCTGAAGAGTTAAAAAATGAAAATGAGTGCCTTACAAATGATATCTCAATCCTGTCATTTTACTTATAAAGAAAATGAGAGAGGGGTTCTGAGGCAGACTTGGGGGTGTATGTTACCTTTTCTCTTTGTTTGCTGCTGTAGTATTTGGGGCCAGACACTTGGTTGCAGTGCTATGAAGATTGCACACTTGGGTAAATGGGATTTGGAGCCAAGATGTGGCTTATTGGAGCATGTGCATTGTATATGAAAGACCTTGGTTTCAATCCTGGCATTGTATACAGGAGGATTTAAAACACTTTACATTAGATATACTTAGTTCTTGTTAAAAATGTGTTACAAACCTTTTACTTCACTCAGCTAGCTCTTTGATTTATCCTTTAAATACGTCTTTTCCTTTCTCTACTGCCTCACTCGAATAGGACTTTATTTCCCTATTTTCCCTGTGCTCCTCTTAACCACTAGTTTGTACACTTGTTTTTGTTTTCCTGTTGCTAAAACTGTTTTCTTATAAGTTTCTTAAGTTTGTATAAGTTTCTACATTAATGTAGCCAAGTCCTCTGACCTTTCCTCAGTTCTTATCTCCTCTTACCATCTCTTCTGGATCTCCCTTTGTTCACCATTGCTGTTTTGTTTTGTTTTTTGTTTTGCTTTTTTGGATCACACCTGGCGATGCACAGGGTTTACTCCTGGCTCTGCACTCAGGAATTACCCCTGGCGGTGCTCAGGGGACCATATGGAATGCTGGAAATCGAACCCGGGTTGGCGACGTGCAAGGCAAACGCCCTACCCGCTGTGCTATTGCTCCGGCCCCTAACCATTGCTGTTTTTATGAAACATTTCTTCTTCTAAGTCCAATAATGTTAAACTTTCTACTGCCTTTTCAAGACATTTTGATTGTGCCTTTGTTTTTCCTTTTGGTTCTTTTCCTGTTTTTCCCTAATTGATTTTCCCTTGAGCTCAGTTTCTGGTCTGGAATCCTCTCTGCATTCCCTAAAATAGTGAACATGACCTCTCAGTTTTAGTTGAAAGCTACTAAGCTATTAGCTTCCAAGATCTCTTAACATACCCCACATTCCCCCCTTTTTTCCTTTGTTTCTCTTGCTCTTTGTGGTTCCTTGGCCGTTTATGATAAGTTCATACCCACTTCAAATCTGTATTACTGAAGCAGTCCCTAAACTGCAGTTCTACCTACTGCCCTCAAATTAACTTCCTTAAACATACCATTCTGTCATTTCTCAGTGATTTCCTTGCTCTGTTCCATATTATTCATTCATGCTTTTTTTCTTGTCCCTTTTTCTACCTTGAAGCCAACCAACTCTTTGCTTTTTCAAGTTGAACTTCAATTCTGCCTCTCTTCCTTTCCTATACTGCTTTTTCCATTTTCTGAATTCTTCATGTACTTGTCGCAGGCTCCTTGACTCTTGTGCCTAGTTGCTTGGGTGCTTCCACTGCAGCCTAATGGCTGCAAGAACTCTTTGGTTCTTGGCTCTTCTGAAGAGACACAGTTACAAAGTTATCTGTGATTGGGTTTCAGTCATACAATGTTCCAACACCTATCTCTACACCAGTGTACATTTCCCACCACCAATATTTCCACTTCACGGGATTATTTTTAAACAAATCCCAAACCAATTGCATCTGTAAATATTTAAGTATACCTCCATAAGAGATAAGGGTTCTATTTTTAAAATCACCTCAGTACTCATTGTTGAGCAAAATAAGTGGGAGGTTTTTGTCTTTTTTTTTTTTTTATGGTTTTTGTTTATTGGTTGGTTTGGTTTGGTTTTTTGGCCCCGATTCTGCTCAGGGCTTACTCCCATCTGTGTCTCAGAGATCACTCCTGCCGGGCTCGAAGGACCATATACAGTATTGAGGATTGAACTCAGGTCAACTGCATGCAAGCAAGGCAGGGGTTCAACCTGCTATCCTCTCTTTCTGGTCCCCAAATTTCTGATGTCAGGAATACCAAGGAAAATAGAGACAGAAGTACGTATTTTAAACAGAAAATGTATTATAAATCATTACAGAAATCTTTTATTATTTATGAAATGCCAGGAAAACCCCTTTAAGGCCTGAGTTTACCTAGGGACTCAAGGAGGGAATTATGAAATTATTTTCTCTTCCTCTGTGGACTGAGGAGGGCAGGATTTGGGGAAGGCAATAATAAAGGAAAAGGGCTAGGGGATCCTTAGAATAAAATAAAAGCTTTGGTCTTACCCAAAGCTTACTCCACCTATTCACTGTTTCCATTTCTAGCCTTTGACTTTGCCTAAGTTAAGGCTCTTTCTGAAGTATTGGGGTGAATTCTTATTCTCCCTGCTTGTCCATTTATGGTAAAAGATGTCTTAACCCCACCTTGTTTTTGACAGCACTGAAAGATATGTTCTTGGTATCCTGTTAGAATTCTAGGCATATTTTCTCACAGAAGGGCTTGCTATATGTGGTTAGATTCTATAGTACTTGTACAATATAAACTTAAGAGTCCCTAGATTTCCCTGGGAACTTGATTGCCATGTACATTGCTTCTGTGGGAAACTAATTCTGAATTTTGAACCACTGACCAATAATGAAATTTGGATTCCAGGCTGTTTATAAATTACAGACTACAGGTATAATCAGTCATACTGATTTCGTGATCTTTTTAAATATACCATGTGTTAGATCTTCTCTTTCTTTCTAGTTGGATTGTAAATTTTCCAAGGATAGATCTTATTCTTGCCTTATCTCATGTCTACCGGTGCATCTTGCACACTGAAGAACATTTAGTCACTTAACAACTTGCCAGTGAATAGATTAGGTATATGTCTAGCTTCACACATTTTCCCATTTTGACACTATTACTTTTTCATCCTCATTTCTAGTTGAATGTTGAAATCTTACTAAACATCCCGTGGGTGAAGCTAGTATTATTTTAAAGCAGTAAATGATCTTGGAAAGGGAGGATTTTTCTTTTTTCCTTTGTTTAGTTCATGAAACTTGTATTTGTTTGCTGAGCTCTAAACTCCACAAATTTATTTCTACTGTGTGAATAAACTTCAAAGTTATCTTAAATTATATTTCCATGCCACAACTAAGCTCTCCCGCTGAAGTCATTAGTAGGAAATAGATCTGTGCCAGGATCTCATTCTTTGTATCATTGTGTCATTGTTTATCTCTGTGACCTTCTCTCTAGAAACTGTCTGGATCTATGAAATGCAAACTGCCTTTTGCAAACCCAAAATTTCAAGTGCCTAGCAATCTCAGAGGAGGCTTGGAAAAATGGATAAACTCAACAAATGTTTGGGGTTTTTTCCTAATGAACATAAAAGATGTTTAAACGAAGGATTTAACGTTTCTATATTTATGGCCTTATTAAAATATTCTAGAAAAGAGGCAGGTATAAGAATAGGACTTTGCCTGAGGGCTTTTCACCTAAAACAAAATTCCTTCTGTCACCAATGTGGATATTTGTCAAACCCCAGAAACATAAACCTCCTTTAATAGATAAAATTTTAGACAATATGACAACTTACTATCTAAATCTATGATGCTTGTGGATTGACATACTAATGGATATTTATTTTCCTGGAGTAGATAAAAAAAAATTTATTCTGTTACATGATTTTTAAAATAATTCCTAGAAAGGAACCATTCTAAGAATAGGAATTTGTCCTTAGGGACCCACACTTCTTTAAATAACGTAACTCAATATGTATGTGTATATTTTAACTCCAAGAATGACATTTTTGTAGGCATGCTAAATAAAGCATCAGCATGAATTTAGCTTATATAAATAAAAGACTGTAGAAGCTTAAGATATTGTTGATAAGTGATGGAGAAGTTGATTTAATGTACAAAAAAAATTTGACAATTTGTAGAGAACAGTATTTTTTTAATTTTTTATTTTTAATTTTTATTAGTGAAACACTGTGAGGTACAGTTGTGAACTTACAAGTTTTTGTGCTTGGGTTTCAGTTACACAATGATCGAGTACCGATCCCTCCACCAGTGCCCATTCTCCACCACCAATGATCCCAGTATCCCTCCCACCCTCCCACCACCCCCCCATCCCACCCCGCCTCTGTGGCAGGGCATTCCCTTTTGTAGAGAAAAGTTTTACAAGAGTAAATTATAGAGCATCTCTTTCTCCCTCAAATTAATTATAACTTTATCTTGTTCTAGGAATATACGATGCTGTGTCTGTTATGTGGCAAAGCTGAAGATACTATCAGTATTCTCCCTGATGACCCCCGACAAATGACTCTGTTATTTTAAAGCTTCTCTGGAGTTCTGTTTTAACTGTGTTGTATTGGTTTATAATAGCAACAAGCCTAGTTTGTTTATAAAGGCAGTTATTTGAATTTTTTTTTTTTTGCTTGCGACACACTATTCTTTGAAAGAAAAGATAAGGTAGGGGCTTACTTGTCTCTACAGCTGATATCTTTGCTAAAGTTCCCAGTTCACATCAGTGCTGCCAGAATGAAGCATCTTTGTTAGCATTTATGTAGTTTAAAAATAAGTAGACTGAGGGACATACCTCATTCCCATTTGGTGGATTCAGTAGAGGTAACCGTGGTTCTTTGAAGAAATGACTAAATCTAGTACTGGGTAGTCCTAAATGAGCATCTATTGTGACGTAAACTGGAAGTGCTCGATAAAGAAAATATAATGGTTAAAATAAATACAACAATTGGAAATGTTTCCAGTTTACAGAGGAGCCAGCTGAAGAAGATCCTAGTGACCAAAGTTGGAAAACTTTGAGCAAAAATATTAAATAGCATTAGATTATATCCCAAACTATAAAATACGTGTCCTGAATCTGTATTAATGTCAATAAATGGTTGATTAAGCAGATGCATAAATTGAAGAGATTTGAAAAATCTCTCATGCAGAAAAATTGCAGTGTTTTGAAGTTATTACCCACTTCTTAAGTGTGAGTCGTGTGGAGTGATTTCTTTCCAAAGAGTATGTAGTATTAGAAACAAAATTGTTTCTTCTTTATATCTGAGACATTTGGAAATTCTGAACTGAGGCTTTGCTTGGGGGGGTGGGGGGGTGGGGAATGAGCAAAGTGTTTATTTTTTCCTTGTGAGGCCATACCCGAAGTGCTCTGGGAGGACAACTCCTAGCTCTGTACTCAGAGGTCACTCCTGGTGGTTCTCAGACCACATGTGTCAGGAATTCAACTGGTGTGAACCACATGCAGGGAAATGTCTTACCTCCTCTTCTATCTCTTTCACCCTAGCTTCATTTTTTAAAGTAGGCAAAAGCTTTGTTGTATTACAGGAATAATAGCTGAGGTTTATTGAGTATTTATGGTGAAAAGACTTTGTAAGCTCTTAATTCTTTTTTTTTTTCATATAGGAGTACTGCTATTTATTCAGCCACTGATTAGCTGATTGAATTGGGCATGAACTCCACCTTACTTTTTTTAAAAATTTTATTTATTTTTCTTCTTATATTTATTTATTGAATCACTGTGGGAAAAGTTACAAAGCTTTCAGGTCTAAGTCTTGGTCATACAATGATCAGACACCCCTCCCCTTACCAGTGCTCACCTTTCACCACCAAGAACCCCAATATAACCCTCTTCCACCCCTCCCAATGCCTGCGAGGCAGATGATCTCTACTCAACTCTTCTCTACATTGATTACATTCATTATTTCGACAAAAGGTGCACCACCATTGTTAGAATTTCTCCCCCAACAATCAGAACTGCTGAAAAGGCATTGTGAAATACTTTGTTTTCTATAGCTGGTTATGAGAATCATATAATGTGGCACAGCCACTATTTTGGCTGCGCGATTTTGGATTTCTGTAAAGAGACAGACAATTATGAGATTGGCTTTCGTGTGTCTGGTGTTATTGGCTGTGCTGGAGAGCCACTCGTGGGGGGCGTGACCTCGGCAGGTCGTGAAGGACGAGCTGGTCCCGCCCCCTTCCCATGAGACTGCAGTTGCCCCATCACCTCCGGCTCACACCTGGCCCTCCAATAAGCTCTGAGGCAGCAGCCACCCTGCTGCTGGGGGGGGAAAGGTGGAAGGGAGCAACGCCCTTGCCCTCCCGGGGAGGCACAGTGCCGTAGTTCAACGTATGGTCCATCCACCCCTCTGCCGCAAGCTGCTGGGCCCTGGATTAAGTCCCTTTGCCTCTGGAGCCATGGCCACACCTGAGAGCTGCTCGTGGGGGGGCAGATCGTGACCTCGGTAGGGTATGAAGGACAAGCCACAACCGTCCCCCTTCCCATGAGACGGCAGTTGCCCCTCACCGACAACTCATATCTGGCTTTCCAATAAGCTCTGAGGTGGTGGCCACCTTGCTGGGGGGGGCGGGGGGGAGAGTGAGAGGGGTGGTAAGGGAGCAACACCCTTTTCCTCCCAGGTAGGCATGGCACCATAGTTTAATGCATGGTCCATTCACTTTTCTGCCGCAAGCTGCCGGGCTTTGGATTAAGTCCATTTGTCTCTGGAGCCATGGCCGTGCTGGAGAGCCACTCGTGGGAGGCAACTCGTGACCTCGGTAGGGGTGAGCTCTTAATTCTTAACACTTCATGAAGTAACCACTATTATTATCTCATTTTTAGAGCCAAAGAAACTAAGGCACAAAGAGGTTAGGGAACTTACTGGAGGTCACACAGTTCGTACTCCCCCTCAGTGGTGGCTAGCAGTGGTATGTCTGGCAAAGGGAGAAAATTCTGTGAGTAACAACACTCAGAAATCTATAGACTTGTTAAACCAGGGTGGTTATTCCAGAAAGTTAAGTCAGCTGCTCCTAAGAGATCAATTATTTTATTCCTGAAAATGTTTTCCACTCCTGCAAATCTATATCTGACCTGCTGAGGAAATTGCTTGGCAAAGTGAATCCAGAAAGCAGAGAAAATGCCTCATTACTTTAAATAGCAGCACTAAGCCCATTATAGCCTCTAAGATGTCCCTTCTTGAAATTTGCAAATGTTTCTAAGTTAGTCATCTGGAGCTCGAAGTACGACTTTTTTTTTTTAATGCCCTACTGAAATTCCTCATTAGTACAGAATGTGTAACTTTGGACTGTACAAAAATCTAAAATCTTCATGACCAAAAGAGCCACATGAAGTTCAGAAGTCCAGCTGGAGTGGGCGCTCTGCTCCTCAGGGTACTTCCGCATACTGTGGCTCACAGCTCTCTGCTCCTGCAGTGGGGTCCACATCCTCATCACCTAAGCTGGCAGCGTGTATGGGCAGCAAGAAAGAGAAGGACAAAGAGACTGAGAGCTGTGTGGACTCTGAGCAACTTCAAGACCACGCTATCTCCTGCACCCCCAGGCCAGAACGAAGCCCTGGGCAGGGGCTCCCTGCTGGAGAGAGAGAGTAGTCTCCACTATGTGCCTGGCTGGCACTGCACTGCTGCGGCTGGAGAGAGACGGGAGGAAGGAAGGCACTTGCCTTGCATGTGGCTGAGCCCAGGCTCTTCACCACATATGATCCCCCAGTACTGCCCCAAATCACCCCTGAGCATAGAGCCAGAAATAAGCCCTGGACAGTTTGGTCCTGTGGGAGGTGACCCATGCCAATAAATAAAAACTCTATTACTATGGAAGAAAGGCTTTGGAAGAAATCAGGGATTTCTGAAATACTTATCAGACACAGTGAACATATACACACACTTAACACCAATCTCTGCATGTGTGCACATGTGTATGCCTGTACGTGTATGTATAGGTGTGGTTGAAATGAATGTGCATATATGAACACTTAATTACACTCGCCCGCACAGCAGAGCCTGGCAAGCTACCCGTGACGTATTCAATATGCCAAACACAGTATCAACAAGTCTCAAAATGGAGACGTTACTGGGCCCGCTCAAGCAAATGTTATATATATTATTAAGTATATATGTACACATACAAATATGGGCTGGAACCATAGCACAGTGGGTAGGGCGTTTGCTTTGCACGCGGCCAACCTGGGTTCGGTTCTTCTGTCCCTCTAAGCCCAGCAAGAGTATCCCGAGAGTATCCCGCCCACATGGCAGAGCCTGGCAAGCTCCCCGTGGCATATTCGATATGGCAAAAACGGTAACAAGTCTCACAATGGAGACGTTACTGGTGCCTGCTCGAGCAAATCGATGAACAACGGGAGGACAGTGCTACAGTGCAGTGCTACAAAAATCTAAAACATAAGATCTCATTTCATGAGTATTAAAATGGCATTGTACTGTGTTTTGTGATATTTATAATTTTCCTTTATTCTTTGTAGATATGAAAGTATAAAGACCCCTTTGGGGCTTGGGATGTGGTTCAGAGATATAGCACATGCCTCTTTTGTATGAGTTTTTGATTCCTACTACGACACCAAAAAACAAAAGGAGAAGAAAGATTCTTTTGAACCCAATATTACATTTTTCTGGTCAAATAAAACGGAACCAGCAAAATCAGAAGACTTTGCTTTGCCTTCCTGAGATACAAAAGGAAAAATATCACCTTTAGGTATGATTGGAAACATGGACCATCTTGGCCACTGTGTTCACTCCATCACGTACAGTTCAGAGGTCTAAGTTAGGATCTTGGAGTTGAAGTTCAGGGCCTTAGAGGAAAAGTGTGGTGGCTTAGAGCAGGGCTCCTAGACAGTTGCGCCTGTCACGCCGTTTCTCCAGAGAAAAGCAACATGGGCAAGCACGTCATTTACATTCAAAAATCCTTTGTAGGTGCCAAGTTTTTCATGGCCCTCACATTCAGTTACTTGATCACAAACGGAGACTGAAACCCAGCGTTTAAGAAACTAACTTCGGCGGGGACAGTGGCAAGGGGTGGGGCAGAGAGAAAGTACAGGAGGTTAGGCACTTACTAGCCTTGCACATGGTCAAGCCAGGTTTGATTCTGCATCACAAAGAATCAGGATTAAACCTTGATCACAGCCAGGTGTGGTAAGGTGGCTTCCCATGCATAGCAGTGATCCCAGTTGGATCCACAGCACCACATGGTCTCCCAAACACTGGAATCCATGATCTACAACCATTGCTGGGTGTGACCCCAGCCTCCCCCCACCCCCACCCCAGCCCCAAATGGACATAGAGAACCTGCCATACATGTTTATGGTAATAAATTTGGACCCCCAGTTGAGCCATGCGACTCTGCTGTTCATCCTGTTTGCTCTACTGTCTACAGGCCCCAGCACCACAAAGCCAGTCTATAAGCACTGCAGAAAGCGGTGTGACTGCTGGAGAATTCTGTGGTTAAATGATGGAGAGGGGCTGGAGCGATCAGAAAGCCAGTAAGGCATTTGCCTTGCAAGCTATAACCTGGTTTAATCCACATCATCCCATATTGTTCTCTGGGCTCTACCAGAAGTGATCCCTCAGTGCAGAGCAGAGAGTCAGCCCAGAGCACAGTTGGGTGTGGCCCCCATAAGCAAGGGTAATGTGCATGCTTTGCAGCCTGGAGGTACAAGTCAGCCCGTGACACTGCCTGGTTCCATAAGCACCACAAGGAGTGACCGCCAACCCTCTTGCCATGCAGCCCTTGATGAGCACCACAGCCATGATCTATGTGCCTTAACTAATCGTGACCCCTGGCAAGTTTGTGTGCAAGCCACAAACTTCAGTCACACACACACACACACACACACACACACACACACACACACAGGCCAGGTGTATGAGCACTGAAACTTCTGATAAGCACCATGACTATAGTTGTATGAGCATAATTTGTGGAATATAAATAATGTAGTATGAGACTAATATCCAAGGACAGTGGAGCCAAGGGCCAGGAGGACTGGCCCACAGTTGGAAGCCTGCCTCAATTGCTGGGGGAGAAGGCAGCTGGGATAGAGAAGGGACCACTAAGTCAATGATGGTTGGAGGAATTGCTCGGGATGGGAAATGTATGCTGAAAGCAGACAAAGACCAAACATGATCGCTT